AGGAGTTTGAGACCAGCCTGGGCAACATGGCAAAATCCCACCTCTACCAAAAAAAAAAAAAAAATTAAACCTAGAGTTACCATGCGGCCCAGCAATCTCACTCCTGAGAGTATACACCAAAAAGAGTAGGGGTGAAAAAGAACAGGAAATAGTTATTCAAACAAAGCCATGTACAGGAATATGTTCATAGCAGCACTACTGACCTTAGCCACAGCAGGAAACAACCAAAATGTCCATCAAACCACGAATGGATAAACAAAATGTGATATAGTCATGCAATGGAATATTACTCAGCCATGAAAAGGAATGAAACACTGATTCATATTACAACATGGATGAACCTTGAAAACATGCTAAGTGGAAGAAGCCAGACACAAAAGGTACATATTTTGAGATTCCATTATATGAAATGTCTAGAACACGCAAATCCACAGAGACAGAAAGCAGATCAATGATTGTCAGGGACTGAGGGAATGGGAATAAGGAATGACCGCCTAGTGAGCACAGAGTTTCCTTCTGGGGTGTTGAAAAGTTCTGGAACTGGATAGAGTTGATGGTTGTACAACATTGTGATTTTACAGAAGGCCACTGAAATATACACTTTAAAATGGTTAATTTGGCTGGGCTCAGTGACTGTAATCCCAGGAGTTTGGGAGGCTGAAGTAGACAGATTGCTTGAGCTCAGGAGTTCAAGACCAGTCTGGGCAACATGATGAAACCTTGTCTCTATAAAAAATACAAAAACTAGCCAGGCATGGTGGCATGTGCCTAAAGACCCAGCCTACTGGGGAGGCTGAGGTGGAAGGATCACTTGAGCCTGGGAGGCCAAAGCTGCAGTAAGCCAAGGTTGCGCCACTGGACTCCAGCCTGGGTGCCAGGGTGAGACCCCGTCTCAAAAAATAAAATAAAATAGGTCAGGCACGATGGTGCATGCCTGTAATTCCAGCCAGGGCTTTGGGAAGCCAAGGTGGGCAGATGACCTGAGGTCAGGAGTTCAAGACCAGTCTGGTCAAAATGGAGAAACCCCGTCTCTACTAAAATATACAACAATTAACTGGGCTTGGTGATGGATGCCTGTAATCCCAGCTACTCAGGAGGCTGAGGCAGGGAGAATTTCTTGAACCTGGGAGAGGGAGGTTGCAGTGGACCAAGGCATCACCACTGCACTCCAGCCTGCACAACAGAGTGAGACTTCATCTCAAAAAAAATAAATAAATAAAATAAAATAGTTAATTCTATACTACATGCAGTTTGTCTAAAACAATAATTTATCTTGTGTCAGGCTCACAGCCATGGAACTAGAGGCAGGGACCTGGAGTACGTGGGGAAGCCTGTGGCTGGGCACCCAACCTCACTTCTGGTACTATTTCTGGGGTTGCAATAGAAACTCACCTTTCTCGCAAAGGCTGCCCCCATAGCTGGGGAGGCAAAGGCAGACAAAGCCATTGACCTCATCAATACAGGTGCCTCCATTCTCACAGGGGCTGCAGAGGCAGTCATCGATGTCTGGCAGAGAGGGAAAGGGACTGAGTCAAAGGTCAGCCTCTCATTGGCTCTGAGCTCCCATAGGAAACTAGGCAGAAGATGGGATCATGATCCTACCATCCATCCTGGACCTGAGTGCAGCAGTGGCAGTCTGCACAGATGGCCCAATGACTTTGCAGGCAAGGGGGTGGAACCTCACACAATTAACATAAATTAGCATTAATGAGAGCAGATGCCACTGGGGCAGTTGAAAACCAGGATGTGCAGACTGACTCTAGAGAAGTGAAAGTTATACTCTCAAAAACAGGCTTATAGCTTTGCGCAGTGGCAGTATCATAGCCACTGAGGTTTATCCAAGGCACGATTATTGCTAATTGAAAACTTTTCCCAATACCCCACCATGATGGCTTGAAATATAGTCAGCATTGGCAATTTTTGACAGTCTCTACGGAGACTGAATTATAAAAAAAAAAAAAAATAGGCTTATAGAATGCTGAAGCTGGAGGCTCTTTTTGGCATTTGCAGACTTGCAGAGTTACAAAGCTGTTTGTGGTAAATCTAGATAGTCACTGAGCTCTTCTTCTACTGGTCCATTTGTGCTTGAGGCATGTATAGCACTGGGCAAATCACTTCCCCTCCTTGAAACTCAGCTCTTTTTTTTTTTGAAAATGGTGAAATAATGGGCTCCTACTCAAGGATGATTGTGAGTAGAGAAGCAATGGAAGAGCTCAATAAATTATATCATTTATATTTATTGTTATAATTCTGTAATCAGTCATGTGATTGTGAAGGCTGTGAAGTCAAGATGATACATAGAGCTCAGGAAATTATGCCATTTATATTTGTTGTTGTAATGTCATAAAAAATTGGTAGCATTTCTTGTGTTGGACTTTGAAGCTAGTGCCCAACAGTTCTGGTGGCCGTGCTTATATCTCCCACCCACCCAGGTAAGGGCAGGATCCCCAAGGGGCCTTTGCAGGGAGGAGTCCCAGCCATATCATTCCTTTGTCTTTCCCTCCCCACCTCTGACTTGTAGTAATGGGAGACAGCATACCAGAGATGAAAGATCAGCTGTTTGATTCAATTGGGTTGGCTAGCTGGGGCTGATTTGGCTGGATGCAAGGAGCAGGTTTGAGAATGGAGCATCTGAAGCCAACTTTTTGTGATCTCTGAATTCTGAGGGCATGGCTGCTAGGTAGAACCCAAGGCTCTGGAGTCAAACAAATGCAGATTCAGATCCTGAGTCTGAGGCACTCACCAATTTCACAGTTCTCCCCAGCGAAGCCCTGATCACAGCTACAGCCATACATGGTGCCATTGGCATTACACGTCCCTCCATGAAGACAAGGGTTGTTCTCACAGGGATCCAAGGGGGCTGCAGGATGGAGGGGGTAGTGTGGGGAAGAGTCAGGCCACAGGTCTTTTGCCTTCTTGGAATCAACACCCCAGGCCCCCAAATCCCTCTAATCAAATCCTCTCTATGGAATCCTCTCTATAACTTCCCCAACGAGAGGTCACCAACTCCCTCTCATATACCCCCTGTCACGAGGAGTTTAATACTTCCAGAAACTGCCCCAAAGCATCTGTGGGCTTCTCTGCCTATAGCAAAGTCCTTCCTTAGACTGAACTAGAATCGGGCTCCCAGAGACCAGTGCTTCCTGAAGGGCCTTGTAGAATGTTTTCTCCTTTATTTATTTATTAATTTTTCTAGACAGAGTCTCACTCTGTTACCCAGGCTGGAGTGCAGTGGCATGATCTTGGCTCACTGCAACCTCCACCTCTGGGGTTCAAACCATTCTCCTGCCCCAGCCTCCCGAGTAGCTGGGATCACAGGCACGCACCACCACACCTGGCTAATTTTTTGCATTTTTAGTTGAGATGGGGTTTCACTGTGTTGGCCTGGTCTCGAACTCCTGACCTCGTGATCTGCCCACCTCAGCCTCCCAAAGTGCTGGGATTAACGGGTGTGAGCCACCATGCCCGGCCAAACACGGGTTTAAGTGTCCTCCCTGACTTATCCCCCCTCCTTTGGGCACACCCTGCTCATCACTGTGCTATTCACAAATTGGGGCACAGGGGTGGGCAGAGGTTCTAGCCTGGGCGACAGAGTGAAAAAGAAAATCCTCATTCTGCCCCAGCCAACCCAGATCCCCTGTCAGGGCAGCATCTGACCATTCCACTGCACAGAGGAATTAAATTGTTTTAAATTAAATTAAATTTGAAAAAAGAGGCCATTGCTGGTGGCTTATGCCTGTAATCCCAGCACTTTGTGAGGCTAAGGCAAGTGGATCACCTGAGCTTAGGAGTTGGAGACCAGCCTGGCCAACATGGGGAAACCCCGTCTCCAATAAAAATACAAAAAAATTAGCTGGGCATGGTGGCGCATGCCTGTAATCCCAGCTACCTGGGAGGCTGAGGCAGGAGAATCTCTTGAACCCAGAAGGCGGAGGTTGTAGTCAGAGAAGATGTCGCCACTGACTCCAGCCTGGGAGCCTGGGCGACAGAGCAAGACTCCATCTCAAAAGAAAGAAAGAAAGAAAGAAAGAAAGGCTTAATTCTTGCACAGGGGCCGTGCTAATCTTCTCTGCATTGTTCTAATTTTAGCATATGTGCTGCTGAAGAGAGCTCTACTTTACTTTTTTATTAGAACAATCGTTTCTTGTCTGTATCTCTCCCTAGAGCACTGGTGTTCCATATGGCAGCCACATATAGATATTCACGCTTAAATCCATTGAAGTGAAATAAAAGCAAAAATGTCGCCCCTCAGTTGTCCTAGCCACTTTTTGAGTTAACGGCGATAGAGAACACTTCCATCCTGGGAAAGTTCTAGAATGTTGTTCTAGGACGTCAGGTTTCAGAGGACAGGGGATTTGGTTCCACCACAGCGTCCGGAACAGAGCGGGCACTCACTCATGGCTTGCTAACGGAATGCAGGTAGCAGCTGGCCCTCCTGTAGTGGCTGAGGCTCGTCCCTGGGGTAGCCCCATGGATGGCAAAGGGGCTTGTGGATGTCAGGGCCTGTGGCTGGATGGTGGCCCTGCACGTGTGTGCACACGCACAGGGCTGCCAGGCGACGGGACGCATGAGCCCAGCCAGGTGCCCCGCGCTGCTGACACCTGCCCACAGACTGGCGGTGACTCAGTCGCTCGCTGGTACTGCACTTATTTTTGGCTTCATTAGCATTTCTGCCGCAAGCGGTGGGTGGGTAGGCGCCTGGGTCTCCCCGGCACTGCCCACCAATCTCCATCCTGCTGCCACAGGCTTCATTGTGGAGCCCAGGATCCAGAAAAGTCCAAGACAGACCCACCCTCAGCCCAGCTGCAGCTCCACCCCGTTTCCTTAGTGTTCCTGTGTGGCTGCCCTCCCTCCTCTCTGACTGCCGCGTCTCTATTTCTTTAAGCATTGAGCTTCTTCACCTCCAATCGTCTTTCCAGGGTGGATCCCCACATAGGCTATCTCTTCTCTCCTCACCATCATCTTAAGATTAAATTTTTTTTGAGATGGAGCCTCGCTCTGTCACCCAGGCTGAAGGGTAGTGACGCGATCACAGCTCACTGCAGCCTTGACCTCCCAGGCTCAAGTGATCCTCGCGCCTCAGCACTCCTGAGTAGCTGGGACCACAGGTACACACGATACCCGGCTAATTTTAAAATTTGTTTTGAAGAGACGGGGTCTCACTATGTTGCCCAGGCTGGTCTCCAACTCCTGGGCTCAAATGATCCTCCCGCCTCAGCCTCCTAAAGTGCTGGAATTACAGGCGTGAGCCATCCCACCCGGCCTCATGTACTTTTTTAGGCCAATGAACTTTTTTAGGCTGTTTCACAGCCAACTGGCTGAGACAGAAGCCCTGTTTTCTGGCCAGGTATGGTGGCTCACACCTGTAATCCCAGCACTTCAGGAGGCTGAGGTGGGTGGATCACTTGAGTCAGGAGCTTGAGACCAACCTGGTCAACATGGTGAAACCCCATCTCTACTAAAAATACAAACATTAGCCGGGCATGGTAGTGCATGCCTATAATCCCAGCTACTCAGGAGGCTGAGGCAGGAGAATCACTCAAATCTGGGAGGCGGAGGAAGTTGCAGTGGGCCGAGATCGTCACTGTACGCCAGCCTGGGCAACAGAGTGAGACTCTGTCTCAAAAAAAAAAAAAAAAGAAGCCCTGTGTTCAGAAGGCCTGGATTCAAACCCCAGGATTGACACTCCTTAGCTGTGTGGCTGCACAAGGCACTTAACCTCTCTGTGTCTGTCTCCCTCTCTGCAGAGTGAGGATCACACTGGAGCTTTTCCCATAAGCACATTATAAGGATTAACCAGGATAACTCTGGTAAGGTGCTTTGAATAAGCCAAGCACACCAGCAATAACCCGTAAATGTCAGCCTTTATCGAAACAAGCGCCCTTGCCCCTGGGTCGGCCTGCCTCCTGGACATCGAAGAAAAAAAGATTTGCCAGACGCTACAGCTCATGTCTGTAGTCCCAAAATTTTGGGAGATCAAGGCGAGAAGATTGCTTGAGCCCAGGAGTTTGACACCAGCCTGGATAACATAGGGAGACCCCATCTCTACACACACCACACACACACACACACACACACACACACACACACACACACACACACAATTAGCTGGGTGTGGTGGTTGCATGCCTGCAGTCCAAGCTACTGGGGAGGCTGAAGTGGGAGGATAACTTGAACCTGGGTGCATCACTGCACTCCAGCCTGAGCAACAGAGCGAGATCCTGTCTGGAAAAAAAAAAAAGAAAGAGAGAAAAGAAAATTAAAAAAAAAAAAGATCCCAGCCAGGCACGGTGGCTCATGCCTGTAATCCCAACACTTTGGGAGGCCGAGGCGGGTGGATCACAAGGTCAGGAGATCGAGACCATCCTGGCTAACATGGTAAAACCCTGTCTCTACTAAAAATATTAAAAAATTAGCTGGGTGTGGTGACGCGCGCCTGTAGTCCCAGCTATTTAGGAGGCTGAGTCAGTTGCAGTGAGCAGAGATCGCCAACACTGCACTCCAGCCTGGCAACAGAGTGAGATTCCGTCTCAAAAAAAAAAAAAAAGGTCCCACCCCAACACAGCCCAGAGGTGACAGACTGGATGATGAAACCTAGCATTGGCTATTTCCATCATCATGACACTTTGCCTTCAAGAACAAAAAAGGCAAAAAAAAGGCCGGGCGTGGTGGCTTATACCTGTAATCCCAGCACGTTGGGAGGCCGAGGCTGGCGGATCACCTGAAGTCAGAAGTTCAAAACCAGCCTGGCCAACATGGCAAATCCCAGTCTCTACTGAAAATAAAAAAATTAGCCAGGTATGGTGACGCACACCTGTGGTCCCAGCTACTAGGAGCCTGAGGCAGGAGGATCACCTGAGCCTGGGGAGGTCAAGGCTGCAGTGAGCCATGATCTTGGCACTGCACTCAAGTCTGGGTGACAGAGTGAAACCCTTTCAGAAAGAAAAAAGGTGGGGGCAAGTTAAACCCAATGGTGTTAATAAAAGTGTGCAACTCAGCTGGGCGCCGTGGCTGACACCTGCAATCCCAGAACTTTGGGAGGCCAAGGTGGGTGGATTGCCCGGACTCAGGAGTTCGAGACCAGCCTGGCCAACATGGTGAAACCCTGTCTCTACTAAAAATACAAAAATTAGCCGGGCATGGTGGCGGGAGCCTGTAATCCCAGCTGCTCAGAAGGCTGAGGCAGGAGAGTTGCTTGAACCCAGGAGGCGGAGGTTGCAGTGAGCTGAGATTGCGCCGCTTGGCTAATTTTTGTAGGATGACAGGTGTGAGTTATCACATGCAGCCTCTTTTTTGTTTGTTTGTTTGTTTTAAAATTTCATTTGGCAAAAAAACCCAGCTTAACTTGGCAGGACCTAAGAAGGACTGGAAAATATTTGTAGGCTGAGCTGAGGCAGAGCTGGTCCCAGGGAGGCGGTGGCTCACATCCCAGCACTTTGGGAGGCTGAGGTGGGTGGATCACGAGGTCAAGAGATCAAGACCATCCTTGCCAATATGGTGAAACCCTGTCTCCACTAAAAATACAAAAATTACCTGGGCGTGGTAGCATGCGCCTGTAGTCCCAGCTACTTGGGAGGTTGAGGCAGGAAAATCATTTGAACCCACGAGGCGGAGGTTGCAGTGAGCTGAGAATGCACCACTGCACCACTCCAGCCTGGGTGACAGAGCGAGACTCCATCTCAAAAAAAAAAAAAAAAAAAAAAAAAACTCAGGCTGACTTGAGCTCCCATTGAGGTTTGACCAGTGATTAGCCAGGTGGCGCTGTACCTACCTGAGCCTCAGTTTACTATCTGAAGAATGGGGGTGATCCTCACCCCTTGCATGCCTTCCCAGCTCCCACTTTCCCTGTGGCTCGAGGCCCCTTACAAATAAAATCACTGAATTCCAGCTCCCATTCCCATTTGTTCAGGAAACCCTCCCTGCCACGCCTCCTCCCTCCGTTCTCACCTGGGAGGCATCTGCGTCCAGCTCTGTCTTACCCAGACTGGGGAGTCCTACAAGGTCAGTCCTTGGGCATCACACCACTGTCCAGCTCCAAGCAGATGGAGACATGGCTTACAACTAATCTCATTCCCCAAATCAGACTCCACTCAATGCCTCACCACTCCACATTTTGTTTTGTTTTGTTTGAGACAGAACCTCACTCGGTCACCCAGGCTGGAGTGCAGTGGCTCGGTCTCAGCTCACTGCAACCTCCGCCTCCCAGGTTCAAGCCATTCTCGTGCCTCAGCTTCCCCAGCAGCTGGGATTACAGGTGTGTATCACCATACCTGGCTAATTTTTGTATTTTTAGTAGAGACAGGGTTTCGCCACGTTGGCCAGGCTGGTCTCGAACTCCGATCTACCCACCTCAGCCTCCTCAAGCGCTGGGATTACAGGTGTCAGGCACCGCGCCCGGCCACTCACCACTCTCGCATTTTGGTCATTGGGATGTGTGCTCTGTGCTCAAGCACTACCTCATCTCCTGGCCTTTCCTGGTGCTCTTTCCTCTGCCAGGAATGTCTGTGCCAGGAATGTCGTTTCTGAAAGTCAACTCCACCTGATAAGCTCCTACTTCCATCGTCATGCCCCACTAGAAAGCTTCCAGATCCCCAGGGACAACCTTCCTCCCTGCTCTGGGCTCCCCTAGCCCCTGCTCCCCAATCCCTGACCATGGAGAGCTGGACAGAGCCCTGAGACTTTGTACTCACCCTCATTCGTTGGGGTCCCTGGCAGGTCTGGGGTGGCTGGCTCCTCTCCACTAGCCACCTCCTCCCAGAAGCTCTCTATGCCTGGGCTCCCTGCCAGGACCTCCAGTTCGAAGTCTTCTGTACCCAGGGTGACAGGCAGCAGGGTGCTGGAGGAGTCCCATGGCACTGTAGGCTCCCCTGAGGAAACTGAGGCAGCCTCACCCACACTGGCTGCAGTCGGTGTCCAAGGAGGCACAGCTGGTTTCCCCAGGGGGCTGCTCTGATGCAGAGACGCTGAAGCTCCTGTTGTTCCCTGGGTCTCCACCTGGTCCTCTGGCTCTGGGTGGGGTTGGGAGCTTGAGGAGGCCAGCGTAGACACAGCTGGAACCCCAACCTTGTCCCCCTGCTCTAAGGTGGTGAGGAATGTCGCAATGCTTGGATCCAGGGCCACCTGAGGGCTCAAGGTCGTGCTTTCCGCTTCTTCAAACAGCTGGGATCCAGGTCCCCAAATTCCACTAGCATCACTGGGGGCCAGCGTGACTGTGGAACCCATGGGCTTCACAGTGGCTCCTTCATCTGTAGCAACCCAAGATGGGGTGACTTTGGGTATCAAGGAGACTCCAGGGCTCCCCGCGGGGGAAGATGAGGGGCTTGCATCCAGCCCTTTACTATACATTGAAGGCCAGGGGTCCTGCACCTCATTTACAGTGGCCTGCAAGCCAGAAGTGGGGCTTTCTGCTGTGTTGAAGACCCCAGACTCGGACCCCGAGATGCCCCTGAGGCCCATGGGCTCAGTGGTGGGCTCAGTGGCAGTCGCAGTGGGGAAAAAATCTGCAGCCACATTCCTGTCCACAGAAGGCCATGGGCTGGAGCTGGGGTGCTCAGCTTTGTTGAGCTGGGCAGGGCTGGTCTCCCCAGTTTCTCTGAAGTCCACCCTGGGGGACTGAGATGTTGTGGGCGTGGGCTCTTCTGCCTGTCCTGTCGGGCTCGAGGGAGGGAGGGAATACACCGTGGTCTCTGCAGCAGGGGATCGCAGAGCCGTGGCCGTGGCCTCACCATGCCCTTCAACCCTATCGGCCTCGGTGGAGGTGGGGGTGGAGAATGGTAGCAGCCACTGTTTGGGACCACGCAGCATGGCCATGACAGGGAGATCTGGGGAGGGGAGCACTGGGGATGCCTCCCAGGGGGCAGGGCCGGGAGCTGGGACGGTGACCTCTGACTGGGGCCAAGACAGGTCTGGGGTAGCTGGCCTGGCACTGGGGCCCTCAGCTTTCTCTAGCTCCAGGACAGGGGCCCTGCTTTGGCCTGAGATGCTGGGTGGGACCACGGTCGGGGGCCACAGCCAGGGCTCTGGGGAGCTCTTGCCACCAGCGGAACCTGCAGCAACATCAAGGCAGTCATTACAATCAGTCATTACAATCATCTCTCGGCAGCCTCTCTAGTTGGACTCCAGGCCCAAGGGAGAGGGGGCTTCTGGGGCGGGGGGACCCAGCTGGGATCGGAGCTTCCTCCCCCATCCCGAGTGTAGCCCTGGCTAACATTCCACCTTCGCCTCCAGATCCCCAGGTAGGTCAGCCTCCCCTGGAGCAACTCACCAGCTCCAGGCATGTCCACCTCATTGGTCAGATCGGCCCAGGGGCTCCGGCTCCGCCCACTGCCCAAAGCCTCTGTGACAGCCAACGGAGGTTCCAAGTGGTTCCCTGCAGCCTCTGGGGTGGGGGGCTGGGCACCGGCCTCCATCTCCACTTGCAGCCCTGGCTCCGGTTCCTGCTGCTGGAAGTAGCGCCCATTCAACCCTTTGAAGCGCCCCATCCTCCTGGGCGTGGGGCCAGTTGGGGCCACCTCTGTATGTGAACCAGATGCAGTGTCTGCCCCCATGTCGCTAGGGCTGGGGGCCACCGTGCTCTGCCACACTTCCCCAGTGGGCCATGAGGCCAGCATGGGCTCCCCAGGGGTAGGGCTGAGGGTCTCTTGAGACTTCTGCTTCTCTGCCAGAATCAGAGGTTCTTCTTCCCCACTGGCCACCAGAGGCTCCTGGAAGTCAGGGGTGACCACCTCTGCCTCCTCCAGGGTGGGCTCCAGTTCTCTAACTGGGGGCCCCTCTGCTGATACAATCTCCCCCTCATCCCCAGAGGATGGGCTCTCTAGGTCTCCATGTTGTGATGTGGGGTGATGAGCTGTGGGAGAAAGGAGAAGAGGCAGTGTTAGTTTCAGGGGTTGCCTGGGAAGTTCTGGTTGAAGTCTACCCTCTTTCCAGCATGCTGCAGCCCAACCCTCCTGTGCATCTCTGGAGTGGGAGCAGGGATGACACCTGAGTGGTTTCTGAGATTTCCCCCAGTCTGAGAGAGGGAAGTGCAAAGTTTTCACCTCCACTGTTCAGGCTGGGGCCCAACTGAGCCACTGTCAGGATCAGTGTCAACTGGCTATAGTGAGGACTCAAGAGACAATTTGGGCTGGGTGTGGTGGCTCACATCCGTAATCCCGGCACTTTGGGTGGCTGAGGCCAGTGGATTACTTGAGGTCAGGAGTTCAAGACCAGCCTGGCCAACATGATGAAACCCCATCTCTACTAAAAATACAAAAGTTAGCTGGGTGTGTCCAGCTACTCAGGAGGCTGAGGCAGGAGAATCACTTGAACCTGGGAGGTGGAGATTGCAGTGAGCTGAGATTGCACCACTGCACTCTAGCCTGGGTGACAGAATGAGACTCTGTCTCAAAAGAAAAGAAAAGAAGAAAAGAAAAAGGACAATTTGGCTCATGGGCAAAACTCTGGCAGTGTCCGACTCTCATGAACTTGAGTCTGCCTGTTGAGGGGTTCGACTCCACCTTGATGACAGATCCTCCCCAGGAACAGGAGGCGTCCAGTGGGCATGGTATGCCCATGCCAGGATTGGGGCGGCTTACTTAGAGGGCTTGGTTCCTTAGGATTGATGTTAAAGCTGTCCCCACTGCCCCCCAACAAGCGCGAGTGTCATCCCTGCTCCCGCCCCTGTGTGGAGCCCAGAGGTGGCCAACTGAGGCATTCTCTCTTTCACAGGGGTGTGTATGCTTATGGGAGTGGCTCTAGGTAAAATATGCTCCACCTAGGGGCGTGTCTTTCAGGGTTATGGGGCCTCCAGATCTCAGGGGATACAGCCCACCCAGCAAAGGTGACTTCCCGCCAGAGTGGCCTCCTCTGGAGCCCTGTCCTTTGCCTAGGACGCCCCTTGGGAAAGACCTGTCGAAAGGGGCGTGGCCCTCACCAGGGGGCGTGGCTTATCACAAAACGGGCTTCCACGTGTCTGTCTCTCGGCTGGGAGAGGCTCTAGGGGCGTGGCCTTCGCCAAAGTGAACGCCCTGGGGGCGCGGCCACCAGGGGACGCACGCACCTCGGAAGCAGTAGGCGTCGAAGCGCGCGGCTGGCGAGGGGAAGCCGGTCCGGTTAGCGAAGCGGTAGACGGTGCGCACGCCCGGGGCTGGGCCCCCGCAGCGCCGGCGCGGCGTCTGGATCGGGTAGCGCACGCTGCCGTCCGCCAGCCAGCCGGGGTCGCACTGGTCCAGGCCCTCGTGCCAGGCCAGGTGTAGCTGTCCCACCGAGGCCAGCGCGGCACCCTGGCGGCGGCACTGCGCGCGCGCGCCAGCCAGTGTCAGGCGGCGGGCCGGGCCCACGTAGAACACCTCGCCTGTGGGAGGGCCGGGTGGAGGTCAGGGGGGCTGGGTGCCCTTGGAGCCCGGGAAGTGGGTCCAACGCCAAGCAGTCCCGACCTGGACGCGTTAGGGTGGTGGTTAAAAGAGGCGGTGACAACCGCAGCAGTGCGTCCGGCTCCAGGACCATCGATGTCTTTACCTCTCATGCAGAGCTAAGCCTCTTTTTACAAATAGAGTAACTCAGGCCCGTGGGCAAGTCGGGCTTCAGAGAGAGGGAGGGGCTCGGTGAAGGGGGCTCACAGAGGAGGAAAGGGGTAGGAACAAGCAGGCAGGGAGGGGGCAGGGGTTCAGCGAGGGAAAGAGGATCAGAGAGAGGAAGGGGGCGCAGAGCGAGAGTGGGGCTCAGGGAGGCATGAAAATCTCAGGGAATGAGTGGGATCACGTCTTGGCTGCAGGTTTAGAGAGGTATAAGACAGGAGAGTTGCATAAGGGCCAGGGAGGGATGGGAGTCGGGGAGAATAATAGAGGCTCAGGGAGAGGTGGAGGGGCCTGGTCCTGCCAGCCCCAGACTTACCCCCCAGCTCCCGAGCAAAGCAATACACATCGTAGAGTTCCTGTGGGTTGCGCCTCCCATAGCTCCGAACCCCCGGAAGGCTGCTACGGTCGCCATAGCAACCAGGTCGTGACTGGGTGATAGGATACCTGACAATACAAGGGGAGGGTCCCTCTCAAATGTGTGCTCCTGGAGCCCCCGAGGAACCTCCTTCCCCATGGGCTAGTCTTCGTCTCCCTGCCCTGTGTATCCCCCTCACCGAACAGTGCGGTCAGAGAGCCAGCCAGCGTCACAGTTGTCGAAGCCGTCCTCGAAGGCAGCCTGTAGATGCCGGGGAGCTGCGATGATGGCTGAGCTGAGACGGCAGGCCTCCTGGGCCTCAGCGAAGGTCAGCGCGTAGCGGTCCCGGGCTGCCCGGTAGTGGAACACAACACCTGTGGGGGAACATCCAGGATGGGGGGCGGTCGACTTATGCTGGAATCTTCAAGAACAGACCTACCTCTTGCAGAATGACTCCCCATCCCGGTCTGATAATAATAGACCCAGCGCCAGGCACAGTGTGGGGTGAGGGTGGGGAGAAAGATCCATGTGCCCCCATTTTACAGATGAGGTAACTGGTAACAATGGCCATAAAGGGTTAGAAGTTAGCAAATATTTACAATGTGAAACGCATTTACAGTTGGGCGTGGTGGCTCACTTCTGTAATCCTAGCATTTTGAGAGGCTGAGGTGGGTGGATCACTTGGGGTCAGGAGTTTGAGACCAGCCTAGTTAACATGGTGAAACTCCGTCTCTATAAAAATACAAAAATTAGCCAGGCGTGCTGGTGCACTCCTGTAATCCTAGCTACTTGGGAAGGTGAGGCAGGAAATCGCTTGAACCTAGGAGGCGGAAGTTGCAATGAGCCGAGAACATGCCACTGCAGTCCAGCCTGGGTGACAGAGTGAGACTCCATCTCAAAAAACAAAAAATAGCTGGGCATGGTGGCATACATCCGTAATCCTACCCACTCAGGAGGCTGAGGTAGGAGAATTGCTTGAACCCAGGAGGTGGAGGCTGTGGTGAGCCAGAATTGAGCCACTGCCCTCCAGCCTGGGAGACAGAACAAGACTCCCTCTCGAAAAAATAAAAATACAAAATACAAAAAAGAGAAGCATTTACGAGGATTATCTTATTGAACTCTTACAACAAATTTGATTGTTCCAGAGGAGGAAACTAAAGGTCAGAAAGGTTGAGGGATGGGTCCAGACCACGCAGCAAAGGAGCAGCAGAACCAGAATTCAAATTCAGACAGATCTGACTCCAAAGATGGCACTCTTCATGCCCAGGGTTAGGCCCTGGAGGTAGCAGAAGATGTGGAGAAGGCTGACAGAGAGATTCCGCCTTTTAGGATTTAAGTGCATGCACTGATAGGGAAGCACAGGCAGCATCACCAGAGGCCAAATGTGGTTCTTGCCTGACCTGGAAATGGGGTCTTGGAAGGCTTCCTGGAGGAGGTGACATGTAAGCCAGGATGTGAAGTACCAATAACAGGTTCACTGTGATTCAAATTCTGATTCAGGGATGAAAGAAATGGCTGAACAAGACCAAGAAATGAAACACTTTGCCCTGTCTTATCCCACTGAGAGTCCTTGTGTCCTCAGCATTGGACCAGTACAGAGTAGGTGCTCAGTAAATGTTTGGCCGAGTGTCTGGGCACGGCGGCTCGCGCCTGTAATCTCAGCACTTTGGGAGGCGGAGGTGGGCAGATCACTTGAGGCTAGGAGTTAGAGACCAGTCTGGCCAACATGGTGAAACTCTGTCTACACTAAAAATACAAAAATTAGCCAGGTGTGGTTGTGTGCACCTGTAATTCCAGCTACTCCAGAGACTGAGGCAGGAGAATCGCTTGAACCCTCGAGGCACAGGTTGCAGTGAATCGAGGTCGTACCACGGAACTCCAGCCTGTGTGACAGAGTGAGACTCTGTCTCACACAACAACAAACAGAGTTTGGCTGAATGAATGAAATGGAACTACCTAGATGTGGAATTCACTTACCTCACCTCTCATCAGTTTTCATGTGCATGTGTGTTTTTGTTTTTGTATTTTTTTTAGCTTTTATCGATTTTGAGAAATGAGGCCTTTGAAAGGGGATGATTGGTTGACCCCATAAACTATGTGGTAAGACACTGTGTCCCCAATTCACAGTTTGGGGGTATGCAGGTTAAGCCCCAAGACAGGAATCAGGGACTTGCCCAAGGTCAGTGTAAGTTAAAGGAAACAGGAGTCCGCAGGAGTTTCCTGCACAACAATCCATCCATTGAGTCATTTATTGAGCATCTACTGTGTGCCAAACCCTGTTCTTTATTTTATTTTTAGTTTTTGACTATTTATGTATTTCTTTATTTGAATCAGGTTCTCCCTCTGTCACCCAGGCTGAAGTGCAGTGGTGCGATCTCAGCTCACTGCTGCCTCAACTTTCCAGTCTCAAATGATCCGCCCACCTCAGCCTGCTGAGGAAATGGGACTACAGGCGCACACTAGCATGTCCCGCTAATTTTTAAAAAAATGTTTTTGTAGAGACGGGGTATCACTGTCTTGCTCAGGCTGGTCTTGAACTCCTGGGCTCAAGCAATCCTCCTTGGTCTTTCAAAATGCTGGGATTAGAGGTGTGTGCCACCACACCTGACTTATTCAGTTGTATTATTGTTGTTTTTGAGACTGGGTCTTGCTCTGTTGGCCAGGCTGGAGTGCAGTGGCATGATCACGGCTTGCAGCAGCCTCAGTCTCTTGGGACTCAAGCGATCCTCCCACCTCAGCCCCCTCGAGTAGCTAAGACAACAGGCACACACCACCATGCCTGGCTAATGTTTTGGAATTTTAGTAGAGACAAGGTCTCACTATGTTGCCCAGGCTGGTCTTGAACTCCTGAGCTTAAGTGATCTTCCTCCCTTGGTGTCCCAAAGTGCTGGGATTCCAGGCATGAACCATTGGACTCCCCCATCCCTGTATTGTTTTGCTTTTTTTGAAATAGAGACAGGGTCTTGCTATGTTGCCCAGGCTGGTCTTGAATTCCTGGGATCAAGAAATCTTTCTGCCTCAGCCTTGAAAAGTGCAGAGATTACAGGTGTGCACTGCCACGCTCAGCTCAAAAAGAAGAATTTAATAAAGAATTGGTTAAACAGCTATTTGAGAACTGTTCTTTTGCTTAATATTTAGTATACATTTTTAATTAACTTACTTTTTAAATCTTGCCTCACGTAAAAAAACTTAAATGTATATTACAAGGAATTTTTAATTTCTTTTTTAAATAGCCAATACCCTTTGTCTTACTTAAAATCAGATAACCACAAAATTGACTTAAAGCAAAACCCGCCTAGATGGGGAATGCAGTGAGCTGAGACGGCACCACTGCACTCCAGCCTGGGCAGCAAGAGTGAGACTCCGTCTCAAAACAACAAAAACAAATCCTGCCTAGATATTGTGGCCCCCAGAAGTCTGAGCTGGAGACTCCTCCCTCATGGCTAAAAAGGAAAGGTGTTAAAGACAAGGCAATACCCATAAATACTTTTTTTTTTTTTTTCTGAGGCAGAGTCTTGCTTTGTTACCCAGGCTGGAGTGCAGTGGTTCGATCTCAGCTCACTGCAACCTCTACCTTCCAGGTTCAAGCAGCTCTGCTGCCTCAGCCTCCCAAGTAACTAGGATTACGGGCATGTACCACCATGCCTAGCTAATTTTTTTTTTTTTTTAGTAGAGATGTTGGCCAGGCTGGTCTCAAACTCCTGACCTCAAGTGATCCACCCTCCTCCGCCTCCCAAAGTGCTGGGATTACAGGCGCCATAAAGACTTTCTTTATAACTTTGTCAGAAGAATTGAAAGGGAATCCCTGTTCAGAGAGTGCTTTTTCTTTTTTTTTTTTTTTTTTTCCCTTTTTTTTTTTTTTTTTTTTTTTTTGGAGACGGAGTTTCTCTCTTGTGGTCCAGGCTGGAGTGCAATGGCACGATCTTGACTCACTGCAACCTCCACCTCCCAGGTTGAAGTGATTCTCCTGCCTCAGCCTCTCAAGTAGCTGGGATTACAGGCATGCATCACCATGCCCAGCTAATTTTTTGTATTTTTAGTAGACGGGGTTTCTTCATGTTGGTCAGGCGGGTCTCGAACTCCTGACCTTAGGTGATCCACCCACCTCGGCCCCCCCCAAGTGCTGGAATTATAGGCGTGAGTCACCACACCCAGCCCAGAGAGTGATTTCTATCATCCAGGCTGGAGGGCAGTGGCAAGATCATAGCTCACTGTAGCCTCAACCTCCCAGGCTCAAATGATCTTCTCACCTCTGCCTTCCAAGTAGCTGGACTACAGGCATGTGCCCCCATGCCCAGCTAATTTTTGTATCTTCTGTAGAGTTGAGGTTTCACCATGTTGCCCAGGCTGGTCTCAAATTCTTGTGCTCAAGCGATCCACCGCCTTGGCCTCCCTAAGTGCTGGGATTACAGGCATGAGCCACTGCACCAGGCCTCAGGGAGTGATTTCTAAGGTGACCTTCAAGTGGGTGGGCTCCAGGCTCAGCCCTCCTTCTTCCAGCCCCCCGGCCCCTCCTTTGCCCCCAACTGACCTGTTACCTCCAAGGGCACCAGGTCCTGCTCATCCTCGATGCCCCTCACCACCTGGCAGCGGTACAGCCCGGAGTCGCTGGCCCTCAGCGGTCCCAGCAGTAGCGTGGCGTTGGCTCGGTGCCGGGGGTAGGCAGGCAGCGACACTCGTCCCTGCCAGCTTTTGGCCACCCTCACAACGTTGTCCTTGGCCACCAGGATGGGCAAGTCCTGTCGCTGGCCCGACGCAGTCCGCACCTTGGTCCACTTGATCCGAGGGGCGTCTCGGGCCGCACTTGGCCGTGGCTGCAGGGTAAAGAGACAGGGCAGGGCCACCAGCTCTGCCAGCGCAGCCCGCACTGACCCAGACCCCAGCTTCTGCATGTGGAGCCCCCTTTCGCTGGCATCGGCGATATCCTGTGTGCCTGGGTTGGAGAAGGGGGAGAGAAGGCTTGACTCAGACGCAAGAACCAAGCAGGGACTGCTATTTTCCTCTTTTTTAAAATTTTATTTTTAGGCCGGGCGCGGTGGCTCAAGCCTGTAATCCCAGCACTTTGGGAGGCCGAGGCGGGTGGATCACGAGGTCAAGAGATCGAGACCATCCTGGTCAACATGGTGAAACCCCGTCTCTACTAAAAAATACAAAAAATTAGCTGGGCATGGTGGCGCGTGCCTGTAATCCCAGGTACTGAGGAGGCTGAGGCAGGAGAATTGCCTGAACCCAGGAGGTGGAGGTTGCGGTGAGCCGAGATCGCGCCATTGCACTCCAGCCTGGGTAACAAGAGCGAAACTCCATCTCAAAAAAAAAAAAAAAAAAAATTTTATTTTTAGAAATGGAGTCTCACTCTATCACCCAGGCTGGTGTGCAGTGGCACGATCATGATTCACTGCAGCCTCAAGCTGCTAGGCTCAAGTAATCCTCCCAACTCAGCCTCCCAAAGTGCCGGGATTATAGGCATAAGCCACTGTGCCTAGCCCCTTGTTTTATTATTATTATTATATTTCTTTTTTTTTTTTTTTTGAGATGGAATCTCCCTCCATCTCCCAGGCTGGAGTGCAGTGGTGTGATCTCAGCTCACTGCAACCTCTGCCTCCTGACGTCAAGCAATTCTCCTGCCTTGGCCTCCTAAGTAGCTGGGATTACAGGTACGCACCACTATGCCTGGCTAATTTTTGCATTTTTAGTAGAGATGGGATTTCACCATGTTGGCCACACTGGTCTCCAATTCCTGACCTCAAGTGATCTGCTCACCTTGGCCTTCCAAAGTGCTGGGATTATAGGAGTGAGCTACTACCCCCGCCCTTATTATTTTTTTGAGTCTCCCTCTGTCACCCAGGCTGGAGTGCAGTGGCATGATCTCAGCTCACAGCAACCTTTGCCTCCCAGGTTCAAGCGATTCTCATGCCTCAGCCTCCCAAGTAGATGAGATTACAGGCATGCGCCACCACACCTGACTGATTTTTGCATTTTCTGTAGAGACAGAGTTTCGCCATGTTGGGCAGGCTAGCCTGGAACTCCTGACCTCAAGTGATCTGCCTGCCTCAGCCTCCCAAAGTGCTGAGATTGTAGGCATAGAGCACTGTGCCCAGCCCCTCACTTTATTTTTACAAGGACAGAGATTTTACTCCAGTGCCACTGACTCACTGTATGGCCCCGGGAGAGTAATTTTCCTTTCCTAAGTCTCAGTTTTTCTGAAAGGTAAGGCAAGAGACAGCTAATGAAAAGGAAATGGTGTTTCGGGAGTACCGTCTTTATAACAGGCACTTTATAGCAATCAGCTAATTTGATTTTTATAACCATCTGCAGAGTAGCAATGTTTCATTCTCTTTGGGGGGAGCTGAGGAAACTGAAGTTCAGAGAGATAATTATACTTGCCTAGGGTCACAGAGCAAATCTGTGAGGGATTTCTAAAACCTGGGCTCTTGACCACCAGCAGAGGCAGGCACACAGACCTTTACTCCCATTGCTCCACCCTTGGCAGACATCACTAATCAATCTCTGCACTATTCTCATTTCTTTCTTTCTTTCTTTCCTTTTCTCTCTCCAGTTCATCTGAGCAAAACGGTGAGAGGCGGGAACCTCCAGCTTCTGCTGACAATGACTAAAAATAACCTCTTAGGTATCTTGTTCGCTTTTGACTGTTCAAAGACCTTTTAAAATCTATTTTCATTTTATTCTCTAACCCATGCCAGGAGACCAGCAGGAGAAGGCTCTGGAATTCAAAAGCTGTCCCATCTTGTCCATCCCCCAGACCCCAATCTCTCCCTCCCCACAAACCAACTTACCCTGTTCCCCAGCCACAAAGAGCAGCATCTGCAGCATCAAAAGGCCTGAGGCCCAGACAAACGTGGTCCCCATCCTGGACCTGGAACGAAATGGAGAGGAAACGAGGAGTGAGCCACAGCCCAGCCCTCCCAGACATTCAGCATGGTAGAACCAACTCCCCCACTCCACAGATCAGGAAATCAGGGCTCAGAGAGGCCAGTGTGTTATTCAAGGTCACAGAGGGAGCCTACAAAGTGCTGAGCCAGGATTTGAACCCAGGGCCACTTGACCTCAGAATCCAAGCAGCAGCTGGACACGGTGGCTCACGCCTGTAGTCCCAGCACTTTGGGAGGCTGAGGCAGGAGGATTACTTGAGACCAGGAGCTTCAGACCAGCCTGGGCAACATAGTGAGATCTCATCTCTACTAAAAAAAAAAAAAAGGGAAAAAAAAATTAGCTGTGCCTGGTGGAATACACCTGAGGTCCCAGCTACTCAGGAGGCTGAGGTGGGAGGATTGCTGAAGCCCAGGAGTTCAAGGCTGCAGTGAGCTATGATCACACCACCACACTCCAGCCTGGGTGACAGCTCGAGACTGCCTCAAAACAAAACAACAAAAAACAATCCAAGCAGTGAAGTCTTGTGGTCAGAAGCCTGGGTGCTGTAGTGAATCAAATCTGGGATAGGCTCACTGTTCCTTGTGTGTGACCTTGGCCAAGTTGCTTACCTTCTCTGTGCCTTCCTTTCTTGGTGGGTCAGATGGTGATAACATCAGGTGGTTGAAAGGAATGGATGAGTCAATATCTATAAAACACTTAGAATTGCCTCGTGCAGAAAGGGGCACATTTTAGCTGCTGCTGTTATTACTGACGTTAACACAGCCAAGATTGAAATACCACTTTTCAAGTCAGCCTCCTCCATCAGACTGGCGGCTGCTAGAGGGCACCAGTCAGTCCCGGTCCTCCCAGCATCCCCAGTCCAGGCAGCAGGCTGGCCTCCAAGCCATCCTTTAATCTGGGTTTGCTGGCTGACACGATTCGCAGCTTCAATTCCAGGATTTGGTTGTCACCAAGATTCTATTCTTGGTTTCTGGGATTTTTGGAGGAGCCGCCAACTCCCAGCTGGAGGAAGGGGCTCACCCCTGCCCACCCATCCTCCCCCTGACTTCACAAGGCCCAACAAAAGATGCTTCTTAGGTCCACAGAGAAATTTCAGTTGTGGGTCCAATTCTCTACAGGGGCTAGGACCCATGGGCATAAAGTGGACAATTATTAAGCACCTACTGTGAGCAAAGCCCATGCCAGTCGTTGGAACACAGCAGTGCATTCGCTGACCTCACATTCTTCCAGAGCCTAGAAATCCGGGGGAGGTGGTCCCTCACCAAAACCTCCCACCCCTGTGAATCCCCCTCACCAGGGCTCAGGAGGTGGGCGCAGATGGGAAATTAGAACATCATCTGCAAACCCAGCTCTTGCACCCCGCCCCCATAAGAAATTATCCCTGAGGAGGGGGTGTGAACGGAGTCCAGAATGGAAGGCTGTGGAGGACAGCTGTCCCCTTCCCCAGTTTTCCCTCCCGGCTGGGAGGCCGGCCTAGGACCTGTCCGTGGTGCTGAACTTCTGAGGCAGCAACGCAACAGCAAAGTCCACCTGGTCTGCCCCTGCCTCCCGCCAGCTAGCAAGATGCCTCAGGGACCAGAGAGGGCTAGAGGTTTGCCTCAGGCTGCACAGCAGGATAGAGGTCAAGGCCAGACCCTGGGCCTGTGCCCCCAACTACCAACTTGTAAACCTCAGCAACCTCTGCCTTCATCTCAGGGTGTTTTTGTTTCTTCCCCTTAGAACCCCGAGCAAGTGTGGGGTCCCATCATGGCTGTTTCAGGCCTGGCCAGGTATTAGAGAGAGACAGGACTGCAGGTTGCACCTGCCCCCAACAGGGCTTTAGGAGGGGACGAGGCCAGAAAATTCACACACACACACACACACACACACACACACACACTTAAGAGGACAGACTATATCCAGATAGCCCTGCTTCTAACTCAGGACAAGCTGCTTCAATCACTCCGTGCCTCAGTTTCCCCACCTCTAAAATGGATATCATCCAGCAAGTACCGCCTACAGCTACTGCAAGAATGAAATGACCTAAGACTTGTAAAGTCCTAGAAATGTTAAATTTAAAAACAGCTCTTTAGACACAAAGCCGCATGTATACACTAAAAATATATTGAGGTTGCCCAACATGGTGACAGACACAGTTTCAGGTGCACACACCCCCCACACACCCTCCCACTCCCTTCCACTTGCACCCTCACACACCCACACCCTTCTCTTAAAATACCTCCTCCCCAGGGCGGCCAGAGATGAGCATTTACACAGCTGTCTGGGGCCCGTGCCCTCATGAATAATGTAAGAGCCTCATGCATATGCAAGCAGGGGCCTGCGGGGTGCTGGAGGAGGGGCAGCTCCGATCAATGTGAATGTGTGTGTATGAGTGTGTGTGTGTATGAGTCTGTGTGTGTGTGTGTGTGTGTGTCCCCTCCTTCACTTCACTCCCACCTCCAGTCTCAGTCAGCACTGAGGGTGAGTTTGCCAATGGGCATTTGTGAGTGTGACTGGGTGTGTGTCTGGGGTGTTGTGTCCTGGCACAGGTGTGCAGGCAGTTGTGTCCTGTGGTGTGTGCATGCCGTGTTTGCGGGCCCATAGCAGCTCCATGCACCAGGTGGAGCACATGGGACCTAGTGAGATCTGTGGATGTGTGGGTTTGAGTGACCCTTGGCAGGGGCTGTGCACACATGGGTGTGTTTCTGACCTGAGAGTCAGGGTGTATTAGTGTGCATGAGTGTGAGTGTGGAACTCCGTGGAGGAGAAAGGGAGATGGGCTGCCTATTGGGGACTTCAGCCCCTGCTCACGCTTTCCCTGTTAGCACCCCAACTCTGAACACAGACCACATCCCACACCCCCATGCCCAGGGCGCACACTGCCAATCGCGTGGAAAGAACCCTTGGGCCCTTCACATACACATGCGGGACACACACAGCCACACACCCCAGACACAGACCCCGGGGAGACACACACTCACACAGATTCACAGTGACATTAACAAAGAGAGACAATATGGGCACTCACAAGACAGGCGGCGTGTCTTCTGCACAAAGACACACACCCACAGTCTCGGGCCCCCCCACATAAACCCCTCGATGAACGGAGAAGCATCAGACATAGCTCCTCACTCACTCACATGGCGATGCCAGCCCCTGGAACAAACCGGGATGGATAAATGTGGCCGCAGTGACTGATGAGCACCCATCATTTTGCCACATGGTGATGTGGCCCTCGGCACAAGTTTTCCAACAAAGACACAACCACAGTCACATCAGGCTCACAGGGGACCCTAGAACCGCTGGGCACATTCCCCTCCCCGCCTGTCTGGGGTGGATACACACACAAAACCCCCACCTCCTTGAGGGGGAACTTCGATTTTGAAATGTCCCCCGGCCATCGCGACGGCTGGGTTCTGGGGTCCCACAATGCACCCACCCCTCCCTGCCCACCCCGCCCCCCACGTCCCCTGCTGGGGCCCAGCGCCAACCCTCTCCCTGGCCTGGCTGTTTCTCATTGATGCTGCCTGAGAGGAACAAAGCCCCGTGCGTAGGGATGGGGGTCGCTCCTGCCCAGACAGGGCCTGGGGTCCCAGCCCCTTACTTCCCAGCGCCTGCACCCCCAAACCAAGCCAAGGCTTCCATATGTGTCCGTATGGACAGGTGGAACTGAAGGGGTGGGGTAGGGGTCTGTGTCACGCTGTGGCGCTGTGGGAGGATGTGGAGGTGCTGGGGGACAGCCCCCATCTCTGAACTGGTATCCCTCACAGGTCCTGGGGATCCATAGCTGGGGAACCACAATTGGGGGACCCCCAACCCACGATTCACCTGGGACACCCAGCGTGTTCCCTGGGTAAGGGACAACACCTCAACTCAAGGTCTGAGGGAACGAGGGAACAACGGGGAACCACCTTGGGATGGGGCCCCCCAGAACCTCCTCCCTGAGTCAGAACGGGGTGACCGGACCTAACCCAAAAGGACAGGGAGACAGCACGGCGCCCCTTCCTCAAGGCCGGTCGCACTCAGGGCAGACACCCTTCCACTGGACTCAGGCCGATCTGGGGGGCCCCCTCCCCAGTGCAGTCCGGCCCGGAATCCTCCATCCGCAAATTGGGAATCCCCACTTAAAATTCTGGGGTGTCTCGGCTGAGACACGGGGGTGCCCTGTTCTGGAGTCCCCCATTCAGCATCTAAGTGTCCTCTTCTCTCCAAAGTCGGGGGGGCCCCTCCCCTAGCCCTGTTTCCCATTGCTCCCTCCCCAATCCTGAGACCCAGCCCCAGCCCGGCCCCCTCCCCACCGTGGGGTTGTCTCCGTATTCCACGGACAACCTTCCCCCTAAAATGTGCATCCACCTGACATTTTCAAGCCGCCTCCCAGTTTGCGCTCCCTCTTCAACCAGGGGTTCCCCTCCCCCGCTTCAGCCCCCTCCCCACTCTGGGGGCTTCTCCCTGGTCTCAGGTCCTCTCCCTAATCCTGGGCTCTGCCTCTAATCCCTAAGTCCTTTCCCCCAACGCGTCCCCCTCACGGACCCCCCACCTGGCTCCTAGCTCGGACGCATCCCGGGGCGGCCGCCCGGCACAAAGGACGCTGCGCTCCGGCTCAGCCAGCTCCGCGCCGGGTCCAGCCCCTGCGCCCTGCGCTCCGCTCGCCCCAGCGCCGCCTCAGTGCTTATAAAGGGGCCGCGAGGCCGCTCTGCGCATGCGCCCCCGTCAGCCAAGGCCTCCGGCTGCGCGAGGGAGGGGGCTGCCCCGGCCTAAAATCCCCACCCCCGCCCACTTTTTGGACACTCACCGCACCCAGGAGAAGACTGCACTGACTCCCCTCCCATTCTCTTCGCCCCGGGAACCGCCTTAAACCTTCCCAATACGCCCAGGATGAGGCTGTCCCATTTTACAGGTGGGGAAACTGAGCCCCAAGGAGGCAAAGTTGCTTCCCAAGGTCACGCACAGAGGCAGAGCTGCGATTCGAACCTCGCCCTGCCTGACTCTCCAGGGCTCACGTTCAAAGCAGTTTTGGTTACAATTACTGGTTTACCCCATTTACAGAGAGGAAACTGAGGCACACACAATACGGGGAGACTCCTTGCTCACAGCTGGTAAGAGGCACGCAGGGTGACAGCCCAGGTGTGTAACACCCGGGAGCTGTTTCCAGCATTTCTAGCCAGATCGTATCCTTCATTCAGTCACCTTTGTCCAATCAGCATTTATGGAGTACCATGGACTGGGTACTGCTGTTAACACAGGAAGAATTTTGCATTTTGCAGAGGCATAGGCGTGTCCCTGTCGTGACACCCCAATCTTTTTTTAAATTTAATTTAATTTAGCTTTTTATTTTTGAGACGGAGTCTCGCTCTGTTGCCCCGGCTGTAGTGCAGTGGTGCGATCTCCCGCGTTCAAGCCATTCTCCTGCGTCAGCCTCCTGAGTAGCTGGGTCTACAAGCCCCTGCCACCACAGCCTGGCTAATTTTTTTTTTTAAGTCAGAGTCTTGCTCTGTCACCCAGGCCAGAGTACAGTGGTGCAATTTTGGCTCGCTGCAACCTCCACCTGCTGGACTCAAGCAATTCTCTTGCCTCAGCCTCCGGATTAGCTGGGATTACAGGCACCTGCCATCACACCCAGCTAGTTTGTGTATTTTCAGTAGAGACGAGGTTTCACCATGTTGGCCAGGCTGGTCTCGAACTCCTCATCTCAAATGATCTGCCTGCCTCAGCCTCCCAAATTGCTGGGATTATAGACAAGAGCCACCTGGAGGTCCCAATATATAAAAACCTAGATCCAAGGCTGGGTGTGGTGGCTCACACCTGCAATCCCAGCACTTTGGGAGGCTGAGGTGGAAGGATTCCATGAGCTTAAGAGTTTGAGACCCAGACTCAGGAGTCTGGGCAACATGGCAAAAACCTTTCTCTACAAAAGAAAAATACATAAATTAGCTGGACAGGGTGGACACGCGCCTGTAGTTCCAGCTACTCAGGGTCCTGAAGCAGGAGGATCCCCGGAGTCCAGGAGGTCGAAGCTGCAGTGAGCTGCGCTCATGCCATTGCACTCTAGCCTGGGTGACAGAGCAAGACTCCATCTCTAAAATAAATATGTAAATAAGCCTAGACCCATACAATGGAATATTAGCCATAAAAAGGAATGAAGAACTGATGAATGCTACAATATGGATGAACCTTGAAAACATGATGCTGAGTGAAAGAAGAAAGACACAGAAGGCCAAATAGTGCATGACTCCATTTGTAGAAATGTCCAGTCGTATTGGGCACAGTGGCTCATGCTGTAATCCCAGCACTTTGGGAGGCTGAAGTGGGAGGCTCCCTTGAGGCCAGGAGTTCGAGACCAGCCTGGGCAACAAAGGGAGACTCCTTTGTCTCTACAAAAAAAAAAAAAAAAAAAAAAATTACCCGGGCATGGTGGTGGATGCCTGTAGTCCCAGCTAGATGGGAGGCTGAGGCAGGAAGATCTCTTGAGCCTAGGAGGTCAAGGCTGCAGTGAGCCATGTTTTTGCTACTGCACTCCAGGCTGAGTGAGAAAACTCTGCCAAAAAACAAGAAAGAAAGAAATAGAGAGAGAGAGAGAGAGAGAGAGAGAGAGAGAGAAAAGAAAAAGAAAGGAAGGAAGGAAAGAGAAGGGAAGAAAGAAAAGAGAAAGAAAGAGAAAGGAAGGAAAGAAAGAAAGAGAAAAAGGGAGGGAGAGAGAGAGAAAGAAAGGAAGGAAGGAAGGAAGAAAAGTTCAGATCAGGCAAATAGGAAGCAGATTAGTGGCTGGGGGAGGGGAAATCGGGAGTGACTGCCGATGGGGACCAGGTCTTCTCTTAGGGTGATGAAAATGTTCTGGACCTAGAGGTAATGGTTGGACAATAATGTGAATGTACTTAACGCCACTGAATTGCACACTTTATTTTATTTATTTATTCTTTTGAGACAGCCTCACTCTGTTGACCAGGCTGGAGTACAGTGGCATGATCGCAGCTCACTGCAACCTCTGCCCCCAGATTTCAAGTGATTCTCCTGCCTCATCCTCCCGAGTAGCTGGAATTGCAGGTGCGCCACCATGCCTGACTAATTTTTGTATTTTTAGTGGAGACAGGGTTTCACCATGTTGGCCAGGCTGGTTTTGAACTCCTGACTTCAAGCGATCCACCCTCCTTGGCCTCCCAAAGTGCTGGGATTACAGGTGTGAGCCACTGCACCTGGCCTTGAATTGTACACTTTAAGATGGTGAATTTTATGTTACATCTATTTAACCACCATAAAAAAATGGTAATAAGGTCTGGGATTCAAAACCACTCTGGCCAACATGGTGAAACCCTGTCTCTACTGAAGAAACAAAATTAGCCAGGTGTGGTGGCGGACGCCTGTATTCCCAGCTACTTGGGAGGCTGAGGCAGGAGAATCGCTTGAACCCAGGAGGTGGAGGTTGCAGTCAGCCAAGATCTGGCCACTGCGCTCCAGCCTGGGCAACAGAGCCAGACTCCATCTCAAAAAAAAAAAGAAAAGAAAAGAAGAAAGAAAGTAGGTCAAGCGTGGGGGCTCTTGCCTGTAATCTCAGTACTTTGGGAGGCCAAGGCAGGCAGATCACCTAAGAGTCAGGAGTTCAAGACCAGTCTGGACCAGCCAATATGGCGAAACCCTGTCTCTACTAAAAATACAGAACTTAGCTGGGCATGTTGGTGTGCGTCTATAATCCCAGCTACTCAGGAGGCTGAGGCAAGAGAATCGCTTGAACCTGGGAGGTGGAGGTTGCAGTGAGCCGAGACTGTGCCACTGCCTTCCAGCCTGGGTGACAGAGCGAGATTCTGTCTCAAAAAAAAAAAAAAAAAAAAAAAGATAATCAAAGAAAGGGTAGGAATGAATGAGGGATAAAGGAGGACCCCAGGGGAGCAAGGGGTAGTCCTGGGGTCCAAGATGATACGGCAGAAAGCTGCGCTGACTGTCCGACTCTGTGTCACAGAGGAGAGTTGGAGGTCAAGGATCCCAGCTGATGTGTGTGTCTGTAGGTGACAGCTGTGTCAGCAGCACCCAAACAGCGTGCGATGAGTCGTTGGTGAGCCTGGGGTGTGCTGGCGGAACGGCGTGGCTCACACGGGGGGAGATGCTGAGGGTGGTTGTGTGAGTGCATGAGAACTGAGTAGCTCAGCCTCCGCAAGTCCGGAGTTCAGACCCCCTTCCTCCCACTCGTAACGATGTAACTCTGAGTGAGCCATCTCGTCTTTCTGTGTCTCAGTTTCCCCATCTAAAATGGGGACAGGCTGGGTGCCAGTGGCTTGCACCTGTAATCCCAGCACTTTGGGAGGCAGAGGGGGGAGAATCACTTGAGCCCAGGCATTCGAGACCAGCCTGAGTAACATAGTGAGACCCCCATCCCTACAAAAAATAATTTAAAAATTAGCAGGGCATGGTGGCACACATCTGCTGTCCCAGCTACTCTGGAGGCTGAGGGGG